CAAAATGGCTCGGTCGTCAACGTGTTAAATTACCCCGCAGATGCTTCGAGAAGAGTTTCCCAACCCTTTAGTTAAGAGATACACGCAAGGTACATCGCGAAAATACGAAAAAGTGTGTGGTGTCTTCGAACGATTAAAGTATCTGCTTGGGTTACTTTCGACTTCAATGAGCCTTTGCGGTAAAAACTCGTATGAGTTGTATCACACTGTCAGAAAATTGTATTTTCCTTTCTGAAACTATCTGGCAATACAAAACCCGTGGTAAGCACTTTATTCAAAGTGATGCGGTTTGGAGCTTTTCAAACTGCTTCGGTGGAAGTTACTAGATATGTGTTATTTCCCTTTATTTCCATCATATAAACCGGCAACTACTTGTAGCGATAAATAACTTCTTGAGGAAACTCAGTGAAATATTTTAGTTCTCTGCTGTTATCGTTCCGTTACCCTTCTGCTCATAGGCTTCCTCTGCCAGTTTCCTTTTCATCTCGCCGCGCATTTTCTCAAAATACAAAATTCTCTGAAATAAAATAACATCGAAGGCTGTCCTAGGTAAATTAACGTAAAGCTAACTAACTCCTGGGTACTTTTCGTTGAAATCTCTAAGAGCTGCACGATACTTCCTCAGTGTCATCTTCTTATCGCTTCCAAGGGCACTGTATACCTTATAATCGTTCGCTAGTGTTTTGAAGTCTTCCAGTACCATTTCATCAACTTTTTTCTTCATCTCTTCCCTTTTCTCGAATTCCTTCTTCAATCTTTCCTTCAAATTTGGTTATACAGTTGGATAATTCGATGCATTTGTAAGCTCCATGCCCTCTTCTTTGCACAGACATTTTGGAATTGTTAGTGATGTTGTCTTAATGCCACATTTTCGTGGTGGAATTCTTTATTGGCTTTAGGTTTTCAACAAAACCGTCTTCGTCAGGTACGAAGCAAATTGTAGTGTTTCATCTGTGGGACCAGACTGCCAAATCCCTCTCCTCGCTGCCGAGTCTGAACCTTGTCCCGCTCCCAGCGTATAATGATGTACCTTTTGATTCAACCAGATAAGCGGTCCACGGCGGGGTTTCGATCGATTAGAGTAAGCGTGGGAGACGCAGGCTCTGCATGTCCCTCGCGCGCGTGCTCTCTAATCAGTCTCTAGCCTTAAAGGCAGTGTCCGGGCAAAAACTCGATT